GTTGTAGAATTTCCACTCAGCCAGACTTCCTGTGGTTCTGGATGATGTCCGTTCCATCTTTTAGTTGTATTTTTGAAGTGGTTGTGCGAGGCAGCAATCTCCGGTGTTTACCTATGCCGACATCTTGGTGTTCCTCTTTTTTTGACTTTTAGCTTTTGCAAAAATGTGAATAGTCCTTTCTTCTACACTTGATTTCTTTAATTAAGTTGGAACAGCTAACAGATTTTACTATTTTTATTTTTACTTATTTATTTTAAAATATATTTGATTGATTTTTCACAGAGCGGAAGGGAGAGGGATAGAGAGTTAGAAACATCAATGAGAGAGGAACATCGATCAGCTGCCTCCTGCACACCTCCTACTGGGGATGTGCCCGCAACCAAGGTACATGCCCTTGGCCGGAATTGAACCTGGGACCCTTCAGTCCGCAGGCCGACGCTCTACCTACCGAGCCAAACCGGTTAGGGCTTTACTTATTTATTTTATCCACACCTGAAGATACGACCTTTATTGATCTTTAGAGAGAGAAAGGAAGAGGGAGAGAGAGAGAAGAATTGATGTGAGAGCGAAACATCAATCAGTTGCTTCCCTCACACTACCCAACTGGAGCTTGAACCCAAGATCTGGGTATGTGCCCTGACTGGGAATTGAATCCACAGCCTTTTGGTGTATGGGATGACACTCCAACTAATTGAGCCATACCAGCCAGAGCACTTTTTACCTTTTTAAATATAGGCTTTAGAGTTTTTTTTGCCAAGTATCTTTTACTCCACCCTCCCACACGCACCATCCTTAAATATTTAGAAACCATTTTTTAAACATAGAAAACATAATAAAATAGTAAGCCATTAATGTACAATATATAGGTATAGTCTTCATTTTTTAAATGGAATACCATACTTTTGTACCTTTGGCTAGCAGACATTATAACTGAGATGAGGCCACCATTTCATAAAGTTCTTCAAATAGTTCTGATAACTAAACTAACTCTGCCGGATTCCACAGTGTACCAATGGTAGGATGATTTCTCTGTCATGTCCTCAAACTAAGATAACACAAGTTAATACAATTTTAGCCTTATGGAACACTTACCTACTTAAAACTTTTATTTTGTTCATGTGTGGGTTGTTTAGTGCACAATCACTGTCTGGTTCTTAAAACAATTTTTCTTCAGGGATTTTTAGGGTTCTGAGGCTTCATTTGGTGCACGGGCCCCTAAAATTGTGCAAAGTATTGTACATGGATACGTTTGTCTTTTTTTTTAGCAGATTTTTAGCAGATTCTCAAAAGTCTATGAAATGAAAAAAAATTTAAATTTATTTGGCAAATTTATTTGAGTATCTTCTATGTCTCAGTAACTCTGCAAGGGACTGAAGGTGACTAAACCATTCTACTCCGCCTACCATTGTACGTGTAGAAGTTACATGCTTTTTCAGATGCCTAATATAATGGTGTGTGCATGCACACATGTTTGTGCACACATGTACCCAAGCGGATATCTTCTTTAGAGCATTAAATTTGCCATTTTGGTCACCTCAAAGCACATACACTATGGGACGTAGACCTGAAATGATACCTAACTTTTTCCTTCCTGAGTGAGTGTCTGTACTTGAGTGTCTAAGCATACACCACAGGATGGCAAGTAAATTGCCTAAAGCAATGATATAGTGATCTTGTATCTCTTTTTTTACTTTTTGATCCAGAAATAAATTGTATAGATTTCACTATTTTGTTTTATTTGGCGAGAGAAGGCTTATGGCTGTATTTAGTAATCTGTTATTCCTTTTCTGTTTCTTTCTTATAGACTTCACCCAAAACCTCACAGAGAAAATTACCTGAATGGTTTGCCAAAGGAAATGAGACTTTAGCTGTTACCAGCAATAAATCAATGGCCAAAACAAAAAAGAAGGGTCTTTTTAGTTAAAATGGCAGCTGCCAGAAGAATTATGTTTGTCTTGCTGTATTATAAGAGAGGTACTGTATTTTATTTTTGAAAAGAGTGGGAAATAATATGTAAACTTAAAAATTATTTAATCTCAAAGTAAAATTCATCTATTCACTAATCAGCTGGCATCTTAAAACAGCCTTGTGCAATTTCCATAAAATTGAGTCTTCTGAGTACGTCATAGAATGCTGAGTTTCCTTTAAGATTGCTTTAAGAATTGTTATTGCCCGGTTTTCTAATCATTTTATATCAGCAGTATATTTGGAAAATGTAATTTGTGTGATATGATACAGATAACAGATTAGTAGCTGTGTGGTGATATTGTGTGTGATGTAAAACATTCCTGTATTACCCAGATTCTGTCTTGTACATGAGGAAAACAGTGATTTTACAAATTGCCTTTACTCTCTTTAGACAGTACTCCTCTACACGTTGTTAAATGGACCAGAGCTGTGAAAGTGAAACATTTTGGGTTCCAAGAATATAACAAAAGACACCATTTATACTAGAAAACTGCATTTTCTACAATATTTCTATCATTTTTTAAATAATAAACTTTAAAAATGTTATTTATACTGAATGTTATGAAGAGTATATGTAAATCTATTTTAAGCCTTCGTTTACTTAATAACATTTTTTTGAGGGTGTCAGAATTTGATTCTAAAATCTATTAATGTCATACATATAACTTAAATATCTGAAACCCATACTCTTGACTCTGATTTGGGTAAACCATAATTAATATAGCTTTAAGCAGTTTATCATATAGCCTTAATTGACTTTGGTAAATACAAATAACTGTTGTTAATAAAGAAGAAATATATGCATGGTTGTTTTTAGAAAAACGAAAAAAAGAAAAATCACCAATAGTCCCACTAGTTAACCCCTTTTATGACATATTCCATAACTTTTTACATTTACTTCTTTTCTAAGTTTGTTACATGAATAATATAAGAAAGAATTTTCTTTGTAAAGCATTCAAGCTACACTTAAAACATGGAAGTCCCCACAGTCCTGTTTCCTCATATGCCATTACCAGCCTTTACCAGAAGGTAACTTCTGTCATATATATGACATGTGGTTCTCTAGTCATTTCTTCTGCATTTACATGCTTTTGTATTTGCATCTGTACATATTCTTTTTTTTTCTTTTTTTTTAACACAAATGAGATCATGCTATAATTTTCGGCAGCAAATTTTGTACTTAATATATCACGAAGATCTTTCCATGTCAGTACATATTGATCTCATTGTTTTTTTTACAGTAACATAATATTCTCTTCAATCCTATAATTTATATAATCACTTTTCTATTGGTCATTTCTATTTGAACAGTTTTGTCATTGAATAATCTTCCACAGAATCTGTTCTGTGGCTTTATGCGGTACAGGAATTCTCTGAGTGTGGTCTGCAGACTGTTTGGAGTCCCTAAGACCCTCTCAGGGGGTCTGCAAAGCCAAAACTATTTTCATAATACCAAGATGTTATCTGCCTTTTGTATTATGTTGATATTTGCAATGAGGGTGCAAAGTAATAGGGAGTAAAACCACTGATATTTTAGTGCAGCGATCACCAACCGGTGGTCCGCAGACTTCTGGTGGTCCATGAGGTCCAAAAGGTTGGCAACCGCTGTGTTAGTGCAAAGCAAGGCAATGGTACCGAATTATTGATTGTACTAATTCTTAGTCCTTTTCAGTACTCTGTGTGATGAAATGCCAGTATGCATAAAGCTCTTCAGCTGCCAAAGCATGATGGTCATCTCCTTTGATTGTGTGAGTTGTCCCCATGGAACACCACTTCTATTGAAAAGAATGACTGACGGGAAACTGTGATTAGCCAGATGTGGGTGTTCGGTGAACATTTCCTGAAAACTGAGCAAAGTCATCCTCTCACTTCAAGGAAAACTGCTGATTATTTGTCTCCAGTGATAAAATTGGAGAGTTCAAGAGAAATTTATAATTTTGAAAAACTTGTGTCTGTTACCAGGAGTTTGACAGCTTCCCATACCATAACGCAGACTCTTCTAATGAGATGGAAAGGGTTAATTTTTTTAAACATTATTGATTTTGGGCAACAGTTAGAAGATCTGCATAACTCAGAGAACCAATATTTTCTGAATGATTAATACATCTATATTATAAAAGGCCTGTGACCCTAATGCCCTAACGACCAACGGCTGGCGTGGGTGGGCGGGGCTGCAAGCACAGCCGAGCGATTTTGTGTACTGGGCTTCTAGTCTATATATATAAAAATCTAAGCGACCTTTAGGATGGAATGACCAGAGTGACCAGAACGATGGGTTGCTATGATGCGCACTGACCACCAGGGGGCAGATGCTCAACACAGGAGATGCCCCCAGCCCACAGGCCCTGATTGTCGATGGGGCCTGCTGGCCACCCTCCTGGTCCCTCCCTGCAGCCGGTAGGCCCTGATTGACCTGCCACCCACCCGCTGTGGTGGCGGTTGGCCCCTCCCCCCAGCTGGCAGGTCCCGATCGCTCAATCAGGGCCAGGCCCCAGGCTGGGACGGGACTGGGGGTGGGTGGCAGCAGACACAGGCGGCGAGGGAAGGAGGAGGGGAGGCAGGGAACCTGATTGGTCCTAATTGCCGCCCAGGCCTAGGGACCCCACCTGTGCACGAATTTCGTGTACCGGGCCTCTAGTGTCTAATAAAATCATGCATAGACAAAAGATCCATTCAGAGTGCACAGTGGACCAAAGGATTTTAACATAGCACAGTAAGACACTAACACTTGTCCAGTTTGGATATAGTTTCAAAGAAGAATGTCTTCAGTTATCTGGAAAGGTTATGAAAATACTTCTCCTTTTTCCAACCACATACCTGTTTGAGATCAAACTTTCTTCATAAACTTTGGCCAGGACAGCATATCGAAACAGATTGAATGAAGAAGCAGATCTGAGAATCCAGACACTTCTGTTAAACCAGATGATGATGTCACTTTTCTCACTATTGGGAGTGGGGTTTCCAAAAACTGTATTGATGTTAACATGTAATACTGCTATTTTTAAACAAATTAATAAGTATTTTTAAATTTTTTCTCAGTTTTAATTTCTAAAAATGGTAAATACTGATAGCTATTACCTACATTAACAAAAGCTCCATGGGGTTCTTAATAATTTTTAAGGATATAATAGGGTCCTGAGATCTAGGAGGTTGAAAACTGTTTATATGATATTTTATTATACAGAAGACATCTATGAATTATTTAACTAATTTCATGTTGGACATTAAAATTGCTTCCAGTTTTTCCGCTATTTTAAGTACCACTTTGAAATGAAATATGGAATAGTCTCACAGCAAATACCAGAAGGAGAGAGAAAATGAATTTTGTTGTGGACTTGATGCCTTTCCGTCATACGTGGCCCTTAGTTTCTGTTTGGGTTGTTGCAGGAGAATAATTCTGGCCTCGACATGCGATGGCACCTACGACCTCATCTGAGCTAGTCTTTGGCAACAGCCCTTGGATCTGGGGTGGGCACGTGTCCTCAGCTGTTCCAATCACAGTGAACCTCAGGATTTGTATGGAAATGCTAAACCAAAATGCTCTTTCCCCTGCTGTTACTAATGAGGAAAGAAGTGTGAACCTTGGGAGCGTTGGAGCAGTTTTAGGATCATGCGAAATCATCCTTTAGCGAAGCTGGCTCTGAGGTAGGCAGGGTGAAAACATGGCACAAAATCAGGTTGCTGGTGATGTTTCTGGGCTCCTAGTTCAAGCCTTTCCTAAAGTCAGACATAACTGGATATTTCAGATACATGGGGCATCAAATTCTCTTCACTTGTGTTAATAAATCTGTCTCAATAAGGGTTTTTTGTTTTACTTCCAATTGTGTGCAGTTGTCACAACAGTACATCATGTGGTTGATAGAAAGGCCCTCCTGTAGACCCAGAAGACAACGTTTCTTCATTGGTGAAGGATATAGAATCTCAGAGTTCTGCCAAGTGGATGACAAAGCACATGCTCCTGGGCAGAGGCGGAGGTTCCAAGATCTCCCAAGTTCTCATTTTCCATGAGTTCCCCTGTGGTTTTTGTCTCCTCCCCTCTCCAGGCTGCGCCCCCCCCCCCCCCCCCCCAGCAGAGTGTGTTTTGGAAGCTCTGTCGTATGAATCTGCCTGATCACCAGGTGCAGGTAACTGGTACCAAATGGCCACAGCACATAGAGTATTTACTGTAAGAATAGTCGGACTGAACTTGAATTTCCCGGGTATAGCACCATTCTTCAGTAGTCTCAGGCCTCAAGTCTCAGTCTCAGGTTCATTCTTAAAAACAAGGAATTTCTGAATATCTCATGCTATCTCCTCCAGAAAGTATTAATTACTTTATCTTCGTGTTGTCAGGCGAATCCCTGACAGTTGTTTAGAATACAAAAACACTGTGTTCCCACCAGGTTGTTAAAATAACAGAATAGAAGATTTTTCCTATTCAAAGAGGCTGCGATAGAATTAACTAAGAGCATGAAAGATCCCGTGGAATGACCTTGAAGTCATTTTAGAGCTAAATATACTGTAGGAATAATAAAGGTTAGCTATCCTCACACTTCGCCTATAAGAATGTGACAGGGGCAGCCCCATTGTAATCAGAAGGTTGTTAGTGGTTTGCTTAATGACAGGGGAGTTAAGTAATTCTGACATTTAAGGGCTCAGGGGTAAAATTCTCAGTGTACCAAAGTAACTTATTTTTCACTGAACGAAGGGTGCAAAGGGATGGGCATCCCAGAAGCTTTTAAAAAGGAAACCTTTTAAGCTTAGTTGGAATAATAAAATATTTGGAAGTTGATGTAATATTCTGTTTCATGAATCAGTATCTGTTAAGAGTCTTAAAATTTCTGAATATAAATTACTTTTAATTTCTTTGAAGGCCTATTGTAGCCGATTAAGGATAGGGATTCTTAAGCTGTGGAGTGCTGAATGTGCAAGATAGTGAGGAACAAGGCCAAGGCAGGAGAAAAAGGCATCTGCTGGAACTCTCTAAGCCTTAGAGAAGATGGGCTTATCAAGCCCCCAGGCCCTCTTTGTCTTGGGACCTAATGGGGGCACTTTATTATTTTTATTGATTCACTTGAATTTTATACATTTTAAAGCATCTAGCAAGAAACTGTCAGTTTCTTTCTTTTAAAAAATGTTTTATTAGGGGTTGGAGACCAAGATGGCGGCATAGGTAAACACC